AAATTCAGAAAATTCCATGAAAATAAGACTAGGAGCCTACTAAGAATTATAGAACTATTCCAGACCTTTTTGCGGGAAACTTCAGAGTCAGACAAAGTTCGGAAAACCCTCGAGGATCCACTATCAGTCCTCTTACCTCACTCCGGCAAGACTTACTGCAGCAAAGCCACCATCTCTACTGCTGCTATGCCCCATTTCTATCCTACCAGCTGGCCCCTTCACTAGTAGGATGCGTGGTGTCTTTCTCTCACTATCCTCGATCCCTCTCTTACCTGTTACCCAGCTTGGCTGAAAAGTCATCTGAGAAAACTTACTGTTATTCGAAACGATACAGAGAAGATTTTTTTTATTTTATAAAGGCTAATTCTTTAAGCCCAACCAATTCAATTACCTGTCAAATCTGGACAGGACGGCCTTTCAGGCCTTTTTTATTGTCATTATAGTATTACGGGGAACCCTGTAGCAGCCACATCCGTGCTCAAGCCTCCAACGAGGGAACATGCGGGAGCTGCACCCACCAGCAGGTGCAATACCTGATACAGCAGGTGGGCGATACCGGCCAGGGGTCAGCCGGTAGCATCAGGACCGAGCTTCTTCGATGGGCCAGTCACTGTGCCTCCCCTCCGGTCCCCTCCCCCTGTGAACATCAGCAGTCCTACAGAGAAGATTAGCATGGCGATTAGCATGGCCCCTGCGCAAGGATGACACGCAAAGTTGTTCACACCCGTGTTGGTCATAGACCCCGCTCGAGTGGGTTGTGTGTGGTGTGTGGGAGAGTGTTGGCCATAGCTTCTGCTGCTACTCGATGAGGGGTGGGGGACGATGAGAAAGGGAGGGCCTGGCGCAGCTACTGGCAAAATGCTTGGTCTTTGCGTTAGCTGGAACCCCACTGGCGACCCCACCCCATCTCTGACTACCGCTGTTGGGGCGGGGGGGCAACATGAAATTACCTCGTTTGCAAGGCCCTATGCTTGCAGGGGTCCCCTCTATGTATATAGTCTTAGGAGTAGTGGTAGGACCCGATTTCCAGCAGGTGTTGCTCCCCACTAATAGATGGAGCCATCCCGGCACTGCTAGTGGTGTCTGATTATATCAGCACCCCTAGCAGCCGCTCGGGCTGTTTCTCTCAATTTTTTTTTTTTCAAACGATACACCCCCACCAGTGTTAATGGTGCTGATAAGAGCAGACACCACTAACACCTGGGGAGAGGCTCCATCTATTGGTGGGGAGCATCACCTGCTGGGAAATGGGCCCAGCGTCCCCATATACGGATTGAAATTGCAGTATGTCAGAAAAAGAACCATTGTGGGAGAGTCCTGCCAGCATTGATTACCCTGGCAACCAG